TTGGAGCTCTCGGTTTAATGTTCACAAGAAAAAAGGTTCAAAAGGCTGACCAAATAGTCCAGCATGAAACGGTTCAAACAGTTTAGGAGAAAAAATTGATGGTTCGGGGTTAGTGCACTGCCACCCAAGACGCGGCACGCTCGTTGGCATTGCATAAGCGGGGCGTTGGGGTGCTGGGGCGCGCGCGCACAAACCAACTCGGAGACTAGATACAAGGTCGAGGTTTGGCCGCATGCGCTAGCTTGGGGAGTTTGTACGCATGGTGATGGCGGCTGCAACTCTCATGCGAGTCAACGGTCAGCCCTGCGGTTAGCCTCGCGTCTCTCAGCATGGGCGTGCGTGCTCAGCCACCACTTCGCATGGCTACACCCGGTCAGGACCGACATACGGTCTTAGGTTCCATATAAAAGTTTAATCCAAGACAATCCAAAAGGAAATGGTTTTACCAAATTTCGAAAATTTTTATGTTCAACAAAACAATGTATTATTTCAGGCGTTTCATAATTCAATTGTTTGAGAGTCTCAAAAATAGCAAGGCGCGACTCTGAGTTCCAAGTCTACTACCTTTCCAGATGACACTCTCTATAAGCGAAGAGATCAACGATCGAGATAGACAAGAATTTTCCAAAGGAATTCTAATACAATTCTCCAATCGAGAATAATCCCAAATCAGCAGCTCCGGCCGAGAGATACAATAACTAGCTCACCTTGACTCTCGACTAACAGCGTCGGTCGTCACGTCAGCTCTCCCTCAAGTAGCTAATCGTGCCAACAGTCCTGATCAAGCGTGACCTCAAAATTACAAGTACCCGAACAAGTCTAAACTATTTGGTAGCGGTTGTCCATTCTTGCCGTCGGTTAATCCATTTTGACCGCGTCTCGGAAACAGACTAGAATGTTATCGTCAAAGATAACGACATACTGATTCAGATATATACGGAGTACCCGGTCCATTAGCTCCACGAAAAAGAAAATTGGCGGGTAATTATTCAGTCCGAAAGACATGACCACAATTGAAGGAACGATATACGATAAGTGGAGCCAAATACTTGTCTTAATTCATATACAATGTTGCAACACTTGAACAAAAAACAAGAACAATGGTTGCAAGGGATCTCAAAAGTCCCATGACCACAATGATTTCTCCCGAAACTCTGAAAGAAGTAGACAAACGAGAGTTTCTACGATGGACGGTTCTGCACCTCACGGTGTGCTTGTTCTGGACTCGACTATCCTCCTTAAAAAGTATCACGAAACAAGTTTCTCAGATTCACGAAACAAGTTTCTCATATTTACGAAAATAGATAAGGATCAACAAAAATTAAGACGCTTAACTCCATCTGAAATCTTATCCTACGCAAGGAAAGGGAAAATCTAGCGAAATTGCCAAAGTACAAAATAATTGAATGCCCAAGAAGAGACTCTAAACACAGTTCAGCTCTACTACCATGTGAAAGGAAATAATCAAAGACAAGCAAAAGACACTCGGGTGGCAAAGGCGCGAATGGGCAGTTAAGGGGCCACAACAGGTCAAAATTTACACATTAAACCTGCTGTCAATTTTCCAGAAAAATAGATTGCACGGTGTTCGTATATTGAACGTATCTCTTTGTACACAAAAGATATTTAAATGAATCTTGTTCCATTAGAAACTTAAGAGATAAAAATACAATTCACATGAAGATGTCGAGATTCTTAGGTTACCAGAAACAGGCCAAAATAGCAAAACTGACATACTCAACTTCTGCGATTAAAACAAAAAACTGACTGCGGAATGATCGAATTTTCGACACAATTCTCAAAATAAAAATGATAACAACATGATTCTTGCTAGAGATGGAACATATGAGATTGAACTTTTTATTCATCAGAAGAGTTTAAAAACATTTGATCGAGTTTCGAAGGTCAAAAACAGCGACGAACAACTACCGATACAAGATAAGGTTTTAAGCTCCACACTCAAACGAATCTCAATCAACACGAGATAATATTTCGGATAACAAAACAAGGCTTCGACTAACATGATTTAATCACAGCGTCTCGAGGATCAGTTTTTGAAATCGAGAGTCTCGGATATCCACGACGAATTCAAGATAACAACCAACGCATAGAACAAGCATACGAACCAATATATACCCGACTAACCAACTGATTTTCAAATCCAACCAATGAAAAACAACGAATTAAAATAAAAGAAATTCAACCATTATAGCGTTCTCCACAGATCCACAAGAAAAAGTGATTGGATCATCAACATGAACCCGACACCTAGACTCCACTCCCAGTCATCATTGAATGGGTCCTAACATGCTTCTAATGATCTTATAAAAATGGTTACAGACTTCTGAATATCTCACACACCTAGGACTTCTTTGGTTATCTGCTCCCTTCACTTAAGTCTTCTCTTTTTGAGACGGCTTGCGAATGCTCCTCACACGAAGACACTAAACAGAAACTTACAGCGAGAGAATTGCTATAGATAGAATTTAAATCGATAACATCATATCGAAATTATCAACTAATAACTACTAAAGTAAGAACATAACTTTATACCACTAGAGTTCAAGTTCATACAACTAAAGTTTGCAACTCCTCTAGACTTTAAGAATGTAAAAGCTGGAGGATAAATTCATAAGCCCCGATTTATATCACATCATCAATTAATACATAAGCATCTCAAAATCACTTATGTAATCATACATGAGATGGTGCGGCACGACGAAGAGAGTGGTCATAACTACAAGATACAATCCAAGTATTTCACATAGTTCATATATTTCACGTTAAGTTGCCTACAGAAACACAGGCTAGCTTTGATACCAAACTGTAATGTCCCACTTTGACCTTAAAGAAATTCTGGACTTTCAGAAAAATCAATAAAATTTTTAAACTCAATTTGGTGGCGTTACTCATTTTCAAAAGCACTTTCGATATCATAAATAGCAGTCATCACAATGAAAGTCAAACATAAATCAATACCCCCAACAATGGTTTCATCCAAAGTCAACATCACCCAAAACGAGTTTCCGAGTCCATCACAGTGTCAAGGCATTTCCCAAACATTATTTCGAGTCATCATAAAATCTCAAATTCATAAATCCCAAATTCATAATATCCCAAGTCATGAAATCATAAGGTAAATTTAGATAGTGGAAACATAACAATTAGTAATCGGGTCTCATAGACGGACCACCATTCGCTCCACTCCGTCGTGCCCTCACTTACTTAACCTGCATCCGTGATGAAACAAGAGGGTGAGCACATATGGAATCCGTGGTGCTCACCACTATGCAATAATCAACAATCATAAAATAAAAACATGTATGGTCGCATCATGTATACGAAGCAATTATCTATCCCATCTCCTATCATAAAATCATAAAATCAACACTCATGTACACATTTATATTAATATACTACTGTTGATACATGTATCGAATGCCTTCGCTCGAGCCTTACAACGATGTCCAAACAGTAGGAGTATCCCCCCCGAAGGCTCGGCCTCGCCATCGGACTCACATCGGGGTTCATATCCACATCCAGGGCCTTGCCTTGGTTGCGAGAACAAAAAAGAGATTACCCCAACGGGGTCCGTTCTATAACTACGGGGATAACCGTCCGATGTCCGGTACAGCTCACATCGAAGACTACATGGTTCACATACATACGTTGATCATACCATACAGCAGGATATAAAAGAAATTTGCAGCATAGTGTTTTTAATAAACCCACATGGTTACCGAAATGGTAGATTCACACAAAGCAAGCAATTAGGTCGAGAATCAGCTCGTCGAACCTACATGTATCAAGATAACCCTATAAATAACTATTCGACACGTGAACACATATGATATAGCCCTATAAAGATATACCGATCCAAAGGCTCTCTCTCTCTTCGATTTGAAGGTTATCAGCTCCTCCCGCGCATAGACTCGGGACGAGAAGATGCTTGAGTCGACTTCGTTCAAAGTCAACCCCGTCGTAAAGCAGAGTATCGGAAAACTAGACCTTGTATAGGTCGACTCATAAAGGTCGACTTGAGTTGGTCGGCCTTCCTAGAAGTTGACATATATTCGAGAACCTACGGGGACATGACCCCTGAGCAGTAGGAACATGAGTGGTTAAAGGGGTACTCGAGGTCGATGTCCCATATCTCGACACATAAAGCATGCAGTCGACTCCATACACTTGGCGTATTCATTAGAACCTCTTGTCCACCTATGGATAAGAAGGAATCTGGGGGTGACTCAGCAAGGAGGGGAGATGAATCGACCAGGGCAATTTGGACTTTCCAGGACCACCAACTTGGGGCATTTTGGGCATCTCAGGTAAATTCTCCCTCTTATATAAAGGAGAAGAGGTAGCCCTAAACCCTAACTCCCATTCATTCCATACTCTCCTCCATTATTGCCGCTGCTCCCTAAGAGCAGCCTTCTCTATCTTCTTCACATACTAACTTGAGCGTCGGAGGCTCTACGCCGGAAACACCTCCGACGTTGAGTTTCTTGCAGGTGTTCTCGCGGTTCAGTAGCAGTTTGAAAGCCATCGAGTCGGATCTGAGCTCATCCTCACCGGTTCGTTCCAGATCTGAGCCCATTCTCATCAGTTCGCTCCAGATCTGGGAAGAGACCCATCATTTTGGCGCCGTCTGTGGGGAGTTCTTGAAGGACTTAAGAGCTTCGCACCTAGCTCCGATCTGTCGCCGATGGCTGAGAAGGAATGTTTACAGAGGAATTTGAACGAGGAGTTTAGGGGAACCTGGACAGACAGGAGACCGCCTTCTCTCTCTGCCCCCAGACCCCCGATGATGCAGGCACTGGGGATGCCACCGTTTGGAGGACCTCCACCTCCGGGAGTGATTCTGGGTGGAGAAACGCCTATTACTCCGCCCGGAGTGAAGTTGCCGGTGCTGACCTCAGCAGGAGCAAGCCAAAATCCCAATACGGGCGGAGGAGAACCAACAGAGACGTCTCGACGCGCGGTAAAGCAAATCCAGGAAGGGCCAGAACAAACGCTCGTTCGATCTCGGGTCAAGGAGCAAACGGTAACAATGACGAGAGATGAGATGCAAAGGATGATAGCGGAAGCAGTGGCAGCTCAGCTCAGGCAAGCTCAGCCCGAACAACCTAGGGTCGAGCCACTAAGGATCGAACAGCCAAACATCGAAGCGAACAACAGGCCCAGTTTAACGAGAGGTAGAATAGGAGGGCAGAAGAGGGATGAAACGCTGGAGCAACTGCTGGCCCAAGTGCGTGATTTGCAAGACCGAGTCGAGGGGATAAAAACCGGTGGCTCGAGAGGACATCCGTTTTCACAGCATATCCTCGACGCTGATCTACCACAAGGCTTCCGTGATTTAAACATAAGCTATGACGGATCGACCGACACATCTCGACATATGAAGAGTTTCGAGAATATGTCGGTACTCCATCGCTACAACGATCCACTGCAATGTCGAGCTTTCCTGACAACTTTACGAGGTTCCGCTCAGGATTGGTTCCACCAGTTACCAGCAAGAGCTATCAAGGATTTCGAGGAGTTCAGCTCGAGTTTCCTCAACCAATTTGCTAGTGTCAGGCCACAAGAGAAGTCGTATTTAACACTGATGGGCATACAACAGAAAGAAGGCGAGTCGTTGCGAGATTATGTGGCGAGATATACACGGGCCTGCGTCGAGGTGCCCAGAGCGTCAGAGGAAATAAAGGCGGTGGGCTTGACCCGAGGGCTACTGCCAGGCTTGTACAGGAACTCTTTGGCTAAGCGCCCAGGCAGAACATTTGATGAGGTACTAGAGAGGTGTGCGAAATACATGAACGTCGAGGAAGCAGAGGTTGACTTCTCTCAGGCGTCTAAAACGATTAAAATAGACCCTCAAGACGAGAGAAAATAAAAGAGAATTTCCTCAACTGGAGAGAGAAAGGGGTCCCCGCGATCAGAAAGGGAAGGACTGACTAGAAGTTGAAGGCCGACTCATTACACCCCTCTGGCGGCTCCACAAGCTAGGATCTTGGAAGTTATGGAGAGGGAGATTCGTGACAATGTGGTAAGATGGCCCAAGACAACGAATGACGGGCCAACGAGGCCTAAGAGCAACCTATACTGTCGATTCCACAAGGATTACGGACATAACACCGACGATTGCAGGCACCTCAAAGACGAGATAGAGAGGTTGATAAAGGCCGGCCATTTGAAAGAATTCATATACAAAGATCGAGAAAGGACAAGTCGAAGGAAAGAAAGGAGTAAAAGTCCTCGCAAGAGGACAAGGTCACCAGAAAAGAACAAGCTCCCCTTGAAAAAAGGAATAATTCACATGATCTTTGGTGGACCGACCGACGGAGATTCAAACCGTGCAAGAAAAGCGTACTCCCAAAGGTAGCATGCCAAAGTCGAAGTACACCAAGTCGATGAGGGGGGTCCAGTGATGCATTTTGGACCAGCGGATGTAGGAGAGGTCGAGAGGCCTCACAATGATGCTCTAATGATAACCGCCCAGGTGTCGGGCTACGAGGTGCAAAGGGTTTTCGTCGATACTGGAAGCTCAATAAATGTGATCTTTTATGATTGTCTCAAAAGGATGGACCTTGACATCGAACTGGCACCCTTGCACACGTCTCTTTTTGGGTTCCATGGCTCGGAGGTCGCACCCTTGGGAGAAACCACGCTTGCCGTCATCTTAGGAGAAGGAGACTTGAGAAAGGTGAAGATGATAAGGTTCGTGGTGGTCGATGTCGAATAGGCTTATAACGTGATCCTCGGGAGACCAGCACTGGACACTTTCCAAGATGTGGTGTCAACTTACCATATGAAGTTGAAATTTCCAGTCGGAGATCGGGTGGGAGAAGCTCGAGGAGTCAAAAACTATCCTGAGCATGTTACCAGATAGCGGTAAGGACGAACCAATGAACGGAGGTAAAAGAAGGGAAGAAGTTGGGATCGAATGAAAAAAGGCCGAGGGGAAGCGATCTCGAACCACACGGAGAGCTGATGGAAATTCAGATCGGAGAAAGAGAGGACCAAACCACCAAAGTCGGGAAAGAGTTGGAAGACGAGTTAAGGAGTCAGTTGGTGGAATTGCTGAGGGAATTTAGAGACATCTTTGCTTTCTCCCCAGAGGAATTAACAGGAATCAATCCGGAGGTCATGGAACATAAGCTCAATGTCGACCCCCTCAAAAAGCCCGTCAAGCAACGACTCAGACACCATGGGGCTGAGATAGACAAAGCAATCGAGGTCGAGGTGGATAAGTTGCTAAAAGCCAAGCACATCAAAGAGATCCAATTCCCCGAATGGATATCCAACACTGTGATGGTGAGAAAAGCATTGAACAAATGGCGTATGTGTATCGACTTCCGCGACTTGAACTTAGCATGTCCCAAAGACCATTACCCTCTGTCGAGGATTGATCAACTAGTCGATTCCACGGCTGGTTGCGAGTTGCTAAGCATGATGGATGCCTCCCAGGGGTATCACCAAATCCCATTAGCCCCCGAAGATCAGAGCAAAGTTAGCTTTGTCACAAGTAAAGGGACGTATTGTTATGTCGTCATCCCCTTTGGGCTTAAAAATGCAAGGGCAACGTACCAGAGATTGATGGATCGAATGTTTGAGTCGCAGATTGGACGCAATATGGAGGTATATGTGGACGATATCCTGGTGAAAAGTAGGTCCTCGACTTCACATGTAGAAGATCTGAGAGAAGCTTTCAAAACACTAAGGGCATATGGGATGAAGCTGAACCAAAGCAAATGCGCTTTTGGAGTGAGGGCAGGACGATTCCTGGGCTATGTCGTGACTGAGAGAGGCATCAAAGTAAATAAGGACAAAGTGCAAGCCATACTCGACATGGCCCCGCCAAAGAATGTTAGAGAGGTGCAGGTCCTGACGGGTCGAATTGCAGGCCTAAGCCGGTTTATAGCTCGAGCTGCGGAAAGGAGTTTCCCATTCTTCAAGTTACTTAAGAAAAAAGCTTTTCAGTGGAATGACGAGGCTCAAATGGCGTTTCAAAAGTTAAAGGAGTTTTTGAGCGAGCTACCGTTGTTAACAAAGCCAGAGTTGGGCGACGAGTTAGTTCTCTACATCTCGGTGGGAATATTTTCCCTAAGTTCTGTATTGCTGTGAGAAGCTGGAGGGGCCCAGCAGCCGATCTACTATACAAGTCGAGTACTTCAAGGCACAGAGGTGAGATATTCCGAAGTCGAGAAGGCCGCCTTAACATTGGTAATCACAGCCAGAAAATTGAGGCCATATTTCCTGAACCATGTGATAATAGTAAGGACAAATTTTCAGCTCGGAGAGACCTTGGGTCAACCTACTGTGTCTGGTCGACTCGTAAAGTGGACGGTCGAGCTCAGTGAATATTCTATCAAGTATGAACCACGACGAGCTATAAAAGCCCAAGCTCTAGCCAACTTTATCCAAGAAGGGACTAAGGGAGCAAGCAAGAAGTGGATAATGCACGTTGACGGGTCCTCGGCGGCCAGGGGATCTGGTCTGGGAGTCGTCCTAGTATCCCCCGAAGGCGAACAACTCGACTTCGCCATCAGAATGGGGTTTAAGGCCTCGAACAACGAAGCAGAGTACAAAGCTCTAATTAAGGGGATTCAACTGGTAGTCGGTGGTGGAGCAACGGAAATCATGGCACATTCCGACTCACAGCTCGTCATGGGGCAAGTATTGGGAAATTGCGAAATCAAAGAGGATCGAATGATAAAATATGTCAAGAAAATTCAGAACCTGGTGCAAGGCTTAGAAAGGTTTGAATTAACGCAAGTGCCTCGAGAAGAGAACAAGCGAGCCGATTGGCTCGCCAGAATTGCAAGTTCAAATGAAGGAAAGATGGAAAATCATATTACCACACTGCACTTAGCAGGAAGTGTCCTAAGTGAGACAATGGAGGTCGACGAAAAACAGGATTGGCGAAGAGCAATTCGTGAGCTATTACAAGGTCGAGTGCCAAAAGGAGATAAGCAGGAGGCGGAGAAAGCAGCCCGATATCTGAGTAAATATTTTGAGATCGAAGCAATCTTATATAAGAAGTCAATGGTCGGACCCCACCTGCGATGCGTTTCCGAAGAAGAAGGGGATCATGTCTTGAGGGAGATCCATGAGGGGTGTTGCGGAGCGCATATAGGATCGCGAGCCCTAGCTGGAAAAGCCCTTCGAGCAGGCTATTATTGGCCCAAGATCCGAAAAGCAGCCGAATAATTGGTACAAGGATGCGACAAATGCCAGCGCCATGGTCGAATCCACCACATTCCAGCCGAGGCAATGAAAACAATCAACTGTCCAATCCCTTTTGCTCAATGGGGAATCGACTTGGTAGGCCCATTTCCGATGGGAACAGGGCAAAGAAAATTCATGGTGGTCGTCGTCGACTACTTTAGTAAATGGGTGGAGGCAGAGCCTTTGGCAAAAATCACCGAGGACAAAATGATACAATTCCTGTTCAACAATATCTGTTGTCGATTCGGGATCCCAAAGATCTTGATTTCGGATAATGGAACACAATTCCAAGGGAAGCAGATCCAGGCGTGGTGTGTCGACATAGGGATCAAGCAGCGATTCGCCTCAGTTGCGTACCCACAGGCAAATGGCCAAGTCGAAGTGACAAACAGAACCATCCTGCAGGTACTGAAGAAGAGATTGGAGAAAGCATCTGGTGCTTGGGTCGACGAGCTGACAATGGTCCTATGGGCCTATAGGACGACTCCGAGGAGTTCAACAGGGCAATCGCCATTCCACATGGTTTATGGAATGGACACTCTATTGCCCATCGAAGTCGGCTTGGAATCTCACAGGTCGACATTCTATGAGGAAAAGAATAATGAAGAGTTAGCAAAAGAAGCCCTCGACATGATAGAAGAGGTGCGAGAGGAAGCTTGGCTGCGATCCATGGAGTATAAGCAGAAGATGCGTGCAGCCTTCGACAAGAAAGTCCGAATCAGGCGGTTTCAAGTAGGAGACCTCGTCTTAAAGCGGGCTGACACTCTCAAGCATGTTGGGAAACTAGAAGCTAACTGGGAAGGGCCATACACAGTCACAAAAGTGCTTGAGAGAGGTGCGTACGAACTCGAGGATGCAGAAGGTCGACAACTACCGCGATCTTGGCACGTGATCCATCTCAAACGTTTTTATGCTTAAACAATGTTTTGAGTTTTCCTTTTGTACTAGGCAACGATCAAATTATATCCAGTAATGAAATAAATTTTGTTTACGCTTCTAATATGTCTCTATATTTACGCCTCGACTTTTTTATGATTGCTGAATGAACTGAATTTTTTGAAACGGCTATATAGCCGACCAACTACGTCGACTACGAAGTTGACCTAAACAACTACGAAGTTGTATGCCTCGATCGGAATCTCGGCAAGGCTACGAAGTCTACGACTACGAAGTCGACCTAAACAACTACGAAGTTGTATGCCTCGAGTGGAATCTCGGCAAGGCTACGAAGCCTACGACTACGAAGTCGACCTAAACAACTACGAAGTTGTATGCCTCGAGTGGAATCTCGGCAAGGCTATGAAGCCTACGACTGCGAAGTCAACCTAAACAACTACGAAGTTGTATGCCTTGAGTGGAATCTCGGCAAGGCTATGAAGCCTACGACTACAAAGTCGACCTAAACAACTACGAAGTTGTACCCCAAACTACGGCATAAAATAGGAATTAACCACACGACCCACTAAATAGAATTATCAACAGCGGTGAAAAACTTAGTTCAACAACAGTGAAGGTGTTGAAATCTGTGCTTGACTTCGACCAGCTCGCACAAGGGGTTGGGAGAAGTCGACTCGAAAAAATTGGTTCAACAACTGTGAAGCTGTT